AGATTTTTTTAATAAATGCCGTTTAGTTAAAACTATTTTATGGATAAAACCAGATATAATATATTAACATATTATGTAAACCAAATGCACAAAAATTTTACTTATTTGGCACTATACACTTTAGAATTTCATTAAATGCAATATTTATACTCCTAAACTCTTAAACCAACCATTGTTACTGTGATACTATAAAGATTTATAAACTTTTAACGCTTAAACATAAACGGTAACAGTATAAATATTATTTCTTTCATTGACTATACTTTGACAGATACATAACCTGAAAAGCCTTAAATGACAAATTATCAAAAGACTGCGTTCCGTACGTGGTCACGTGGTGGGACTTTGAAGTGTGGAGCATAGTACATATCATTAATCTTTGTAACTGATTGCTAGACTTAAGAGGCAGGTAATATACTTAATACTCGGAAATTCCCTATGTTTATTATTTAACTAAGGCTAAGACTTTTTTAATGCGTAGATTTTTGAGATCTAAATAGTTCATCACATCTAATTATCATCTAATTATTTTTTGTCACTTTAAGTATACATCATGTAGTACACATGTGTACATGATGTATATTACACATTGTGTACATCATGCTTGTCAAAAACCATTAATGTCCTAACCCGATAAAAAAAGATTGTATAAAATTATATATAATTATATAAAAAAAATGGCCCGATATAATTGGATAGAATTCTATACAATTATATAGAAGTATATATAATTATATAAGAAAACCGACCCGATATAATTATATAGAATTCTATACAATTATATATAATTATATATAATCATATATTATTATATTCCTGCAAAAAGTCACCAACTGAAATTTTGTAAAAATCTTAAAGTTCAAATTTACTAACCAAATTTACCTTATCTTTAATGTATAAAAGTCAGTAAGTGCTTTAAGCATTATATGCATATATGACTTATACATTAAAGATTCTTATTTGGATATACTCGTATAAACAACAATCCACACAACTATGTTTTTTAAGATTTTCACAAAATGACAGTTAGTGACTTTATGCAGGAATATAAAAATATAATGTCATCAAAACCTGCAAATTAGTGGTATTTTTACAGAAAAACAATTGAACTTCGTATATTTTTATATATTTTGAAAGACAACTTAATATGAAACAAAAAATTATTATAGCATTACTACCCTAAACCTAAAAATACACAATTAATAAGCACTGGAACTTTCTAATGGTTGTTGAAATATCCAAATTATAACAATCACTCAAGCAAATTAGTTTTATTTAAGCTTTAACTTGAAAAGAACACTATAATATAACAAACACACTTTATGAAGAATACGATATCTAGATTCACGTCACAAAAAAAGAATGTCTTCTAACAAAAGGCGACAAAGAACACCAAAACACGCCATCTTAGCTTTCTTTCAGTGTTACCACCATAACGTATGGCGGCAAATTAACACAAACTATTAAATGAGTACAGATTGCGTTTGTAATTAAATTTTTAAGGTTAACTGACGCTTACTACCCTATTTAGGTATTGTTTAGAGACCTCTAAATATGTTAATACCTTACAAACAATTGTTGCTTAAGGTGTTTGAACAATTATTAATTACCAGCCGTGATTTCTGCGCATGCGTATTAAGTTGTCTGCTATCCAGTTGTATTTTGTGGTCATATAACAAATACACAAAATGTAATCTTGTTTTTCTACTCCCAGTATCGTTCATGTTTCCAAAATATAAAATATACTTTATGGCGTTTTAGTCAAGGGCTGAAATTTTAATTAAAGTTCTACTTGCGAATCTTCACCAAAAATAAATCGATTTATAAGAATCATTATCACTTACCCACATAATATTAAATAATCCTTACTTTTTTGTAATCAAAAACCATAACCAATTGAAAATATTTTTTTAATGACGTCATTATCCAGGTACCTGGATAATTTTCTTAAATTATATATAATTATATAGAATTGTATATAATTATAAACAATTTTATATACCTTAAGGTCAATTGAAAAAAACTTATATATATTTATATAAAATTGTATAGAATTATATACAATTTTACATACCTTAAAAGAGACTTATATATAATTATATAGAATTGTATATAATCATATAAAATTATAAACAATTTAAAATACCTTAAAAGAGACCTATATATAATTTTATAGAATTGTATATAATTATATAAAATTATAAACAATTTAAAATACCTTAAAAGAGACCTATATATAATTTTGTAGAATTGTATATAATTATATAGAATTGTATATGATACTATATAGTTATATAAACACTTCAATAGGGTCTAATATATAATTATATATAATTGGAAATTATTATATATAATTGTATATAATTAAATAAAAGTATATAAAATTTCATAGAGAGTTATATATAATTGTATATAATTATATAAAATCCATATTTAAAAAAAAATATTTTATATAGAATTATGTATAATTGTATATCATTATATATAAACTTTATATAATTATATATGAATTATATATAACTCTATATACATTTTATATAATGATATACAACTATATAAAATCTTTTTTTATCGGGAAAGATAAACTGTTTTTAAAATCAGTTTCCTTTAACAACTGGAAAGATAATGAATTTTGAATAGTTAGGTCTATTTGTGAGTTTGTTTATATTAAATATTGAAATGAAACCCCCACTTGCAATTGGACCCCCTTATGCAAAAAGGAACCAACCGCCATAAAACAATTTGTGGAAAATTGGATTTAAAGTTTTTTAAAAGCATCTCAAATTTTGGAAAAGAGAAACTTAATTATATTGTTTTTTTGCGGTTTCCTATTAGGGTATAGTGCAAGACGGTACATAATTGAAAAGCATGAAATCTGGCCAGGATGCGGTTATAAACCCATTTTTGACAAAATGTCGGTTTTGCATATGTCCCATTAGAGCTTCCAATAACAATATTTAGCTCCAAGGTATCCTAAAAAGTTATCCTGGTATCTTTGCATTTTTCTATAACATAGTGCACTCTTAACCATTTCTTTTTAATTAGTTTTTATAGATATGTCTAAAAAACTTAAAATAAAAATGGTTAAAAACCAAAATTGTCTAATTGTCCACGTCGCATTAATTTAACTAAGGAAAATGATCTGACAATAGACATACAACCTTATTACTAAAAAAACAGCTTTTCTTTATTGCCCTTATTATTGAAAGTGAAGAATTCCGGAGTACCACCTCAGGATTGGCCATAGGATCTGGTTTTCATAAATTACGTGAAAAGTGTTGCAAATGAAACTGACGAAAGTGGAATCAATCTTATTCAAATATACACTGACCAAGGACGAAAAACAGTTACAGTATACTCTTCGCCTAGTCGCAAATAATCAAAAATATTTAAAACTTTTAGTTTTGGAGTACTTTTACATTATATTAAAATTTTGTACGTTTATTCAATGAGTAAGTAGCATCTACAGGCTACATTAAGTGTCACTTTTTAATTTATTTAATTTCGGGGAGGGGGGTTAAGCCCTCAAAACCCCACCTGAATCCGCCACTGACTAAATGAAATATTTAAGGAATATAATGTTGGATGCCACGTGATCTCTACGAGTTTTCAATTACCCGAAACTTTTCAATTAACCGGTTTTAAATTATATGGATAGTTTAATTATAATTATTAATACGTGGAAAAACAAAATATAAAAAACAAAAACACAACAACAAAAGCACAATGTTAGTTGGGTGCAGAAAATAATATATTGAATTATTTATTTACCTATTATAATATAAAAGTAATGCTAATATTATGCTGGATGCCCGTAGAAACTAATTCCATATGCAAAAAAACACAAAAAATATAAGCACAAAATAATGTTGGTTAGGTGCAGAAAACAAGATATTAAATTATTTATTCAGTTAATATAATCTACAATAACCTGTAGAAATTGTATTGTATTGTCAGATTTTTAAAAATTAGTGCGAATGAAACATCACCCTAAAGCAACAACAAAAATGCAATAAAATTAAAAATAAAATGCCGAAAACTTATTTCTTATAAAATTTATTTTGCAAAATATATTTTAATGTATACATTATAAACATGTAAATGTATAATGTCAATTTTATTTATAGTAAACAATTGTATTGAATGAATTAGTTGTACAAAAATAAATATTCAATATTATTATATATATTATTTTAAAAAACAATGTTTGGAAACTGGTTGCAATTTCCATTAATTACGTTATTATTTCTCACTGCATCGAAACGAGCTCACGGTCGGTCACATGGCAGTAAGGGGGTAGATCCTCCCTCAGAGGATTTCCGTAACGTATGTGACGCCAAGTTTTATTTTACCCTGTCCGCGATGAAAAAATAATAAAATTTCAAATTGATGCTTTTGATGTGGAATTTACTTGTGTCCAAAATTACTTTAAAAGAAATATTATGTTGAACATAAATACCTATCCTCTGCAGAGCTGCGCAGTGCCTATATTTAAAGTAAATAAAATAAAATGGCAAATATATAAGTGTAAGACATAATAAATATAGAAATAGCAAGGAATTTTTTGAAAATAAAAATGGTCTTTCCAGGTGTTCATCTAGCTAAATATATTTAGACTTATTAAACCAAACATCTTGACACGTCTAGATTCAAGAGGCTTATAAATCTTCGTTTTTAATTCTAAATATAAGGATTTATATTTATACACAAAATTAAAATAGTAACATATTATGGACAATACTGCTGTACAAGTTAAAGGGACACTTTTCTGTTCAGCTTTTACTATAGAAATTCTTTTAAAACAAGTTTGTATCAAACTAAAATTGATTTTGATTTAATTTTTAATATTTTAATTATATTATAGGAACTTAAGATTGGTCGTAGATTAAGAAACCGTGCTTGGTTTAGCTGTATCAGTTCAAAAATCAAGAATATTTAATTTTCAAGTCCCAAAGAACTTTTTATTGCAGCAAAATAAATCATGGTATTTATGTTTTTAGGGACCAAAGTAACAACAAACGATCAACTTTACAATAACGAAGACATAATCGAACTTCAAGACGTCCGCATGAGCCCGATCGCGTCGATAAGAAATCGACACAACTCAAAAAACAACGCCACAAGTGCAGTGGACCCATCAAAATTTCCACCCAGCTTTCGCATATCTAGATCGACAGGGTATACCTATAATTACAGGCCCCAGCCAGGTTTACGCTATAGGGGAAACAGGGGAAACCCGGTCCACAAACCCAAAGTCCTTCATGCAATAAGGAAGGGAGCTTTGGTCCTTAAAGCGTCCATGCCTAAGATTAAAGACGTAAATGTTATTGATAAGTATTCAAGAATAGTGTTTCCAGTAACATTTATGTTATTTAATGCAGGGTATTGGCTGTTTTATTTTTTCGAATAGTTTGTTTCGTAAATAAGAAACGGTTTAATAATTTTTATATAAAATTATTTTGTAAGTAAAAGGACGATTTATTAGTATAACTATTAATGGTAAACTTTTTATCAAATTCGCTTTTGTAGTTTACAGACCAGATAATACAGGGTTAATGATATAAAAATTAAGGGTGTTTAAATTTGAGTACACAGTAATGCGTATCAGACGATATTTTTAATTAAAAGTAAAATACAAAGATGACGTTTAAAAATGACCTAAAAGGCAACCTCAAATTTGAACACGCTTTATTTGCCAATAAAATTATAGAGACCGGATTCTGGGCATATGCCTATAATCGATTTTATTAGGCCGTTAGTATAAAGTATATTTTTGGTACTTTGATTTCAATTTAATCCAACATCATTTTGCTTTTTAAGACCCCTTTAAAGAAGTTCCTATAATATAAACTATCGCCTAAAATACAAAAACAGGTGCATGTTTAGTCTTCCTAATTAACTTATTTTTTAACATTTTTATGAAGACCTTTTTAACTTTAATTTTATTTTTCTCTATATGGGGCCTTTAAAAAAATAAGTGCCTAAAAGTCCGGTCTTTGCTAATATCACATATTATGTTTTCTTGGTTTTGTCCTATCCTGGGTATTTTGCCAGATACAAATAAAATAAATTTAAATTTTATTAATAAAATCAAAAATATAGTATTTGCTTAATATAGATGTTTCGCAGTGTCGTATTGTTTATTTAATTTTAAAGCTAGTTAAAAGCGTATTAAAACAAAAGCTTATAGATTTTTGTAGCCCATTAGTACCTATAACAAATTAGGGTCGTGTTTTTTTCGAAAATGTTACGAAAGGACCAAATACTTAATTTGATTTAATTATTTTCTACGATTGTAAATATCTATGTAACATATCTAATCCAGATTGGTTTCGTTTAATTGATCTAAAATTTGTTGGAGTTTGGTGTAGAGCATATTAAAAACTGTTAAAACTTTAGACTAAAATTTTATGAGTGTTAAGTGTTAATATTTTAAGACATTGTTTTAAATTATATTTTTTTTAAATTATTATTGATCAATAGAGAAAAACTATTAATTATGAAACAAAATGCCATTGTTTAAATTACAATAAATACCTATATTAAAATACTTTTTATTTATTATAAAAATATTGTAGTACCTAGTGATTATAATAAATTTATAGTATTATCAAGACTTTTACATAGGTTTTAAATTTTATAAAATAAGGATAAATGTAATACTTTGGATTGAAAGAAAGTTATAATAAGGTAACTATTGCTGGATTCTAAAAATTTACAACAAGACCAGTTGGGATCTAGGTTTGTTATTGCCCGGGGCTAAAAGGGGATTTGCGGTCCCCTGTCGTAAGATCGTTTTTAGTAATATACAAAATATATCAAGGTAATTAAATTAAATATTACACCATTTTACACGTATACTTTTTTCACAATATACAATCCCACCGAGAAGGAAAGTTTGTTTCGACGTTACGAGCGATCTTTGCTTTTTTAGGGAGCATGCAAAAACACTTGTGTTAAGCCTATTTAATAAATAATAGATGCGAATTCCGAATTTGCGAAATGCAAATATTCGCGCGCATTCGCAAATCCTATACACCGTATTTTCATTTTTTTATATATAAATAGTTCACGCATCATAGCAGCATTAGGTTTTTAAGAATAATTCCACTTCTTCTCTTAAGATTTTAGTCGCCCACTCAATGGTGCTGGGTGATAGTTTTTGCTGAACGATATGCATTTTTAAATCGTTTTGATTTATTATTCGGTTTATTTACTTTTAAATATGATTCAGATAGGTACTTAACATGTAACATAGTCACTTTTAACATTAAATTATTACTTTAGTATCTAACTATTTTCCCTTTGCATTTAACTAAAAGGTGTTTTCTTATAAAAACTTAAACATAAAACAATTTAAGTCAAAGGTCCTAAAATAACCGAAAATCAGCTTTGGCCGAAAAACTCCTTAGGTCGAATACTAACAATTTGTATAACCTAGAGCACCAGCACCGATATATGTACAAATATACTATGTATATAATATATATATGTATATACTTGCAATTGCATTCTAAACAATTTTTTTTCTGTTGCCTTTTTCTCAAATCTCGGTTGCTCGAAAACCGATAACGGTGAAAAGTCGAAATATTTACGAAATTTAGGTGATTTGAAAAAAACAATCGGCATTATCAGAAAATGATATAATTAGTTTATGAAAGTGAATTTTTCTATGAATTCATTATTCAGCATTTTCGAAAAGGTTCATAACTCCTAATTTTGGAGTTTCAAAGCGTATTTGGAATCGGACAATGAGTGACCTGGCATTTAATTAAATTTGTTCGAGTCTCCAGAAAAGGGGGGCAAGTGACCTGCCCCCTTTTGTCGAAGTCCACGGCTACGCCATTGATCTTTAGGCATATAATTTTATCGCAAATTCGAGCTCCCTAAAAATGTATAATAAATAATAAATATCAAAATTTTTGCACTCGATCTAATTCAATTACATTATAAAATTTCAAGGTCAGCAGAATCTTAAAAAAATTTAATAAAAATCTACCCCCTCATAACCGGAACCCTCGCTACGTCTCTATAGAAGTGAATAGCGATTTACCAATTTCGACTATTTTAGGGAAAATATTTTATCTATATTTACCATGCTTATAACGTGGATAACCTAACATTTTTTATATGTTTTTTTATGTGAAGTGGCCTTAATTTTGTATTCTAGCATTGAGTAAGACTTCTTTACTCAATAATTCTAGTATACTAGAATATATATATATATATATATATATATATATATATATATATATATATTAAGAATTATAAACCGAAGAACCTCGCTAAGGAATGCGCATGCCTCACGCTAAATGTGTGCGATTTTTGAAAATTCCTAGCCACCAGATATCAAATCTTGCGAATTCGCAGATTGCGGCAAAGCTTTTCCAACCAAATCAAATGGACCAATAAAAAAGTTATTTGTAATTCGTAATTTGCAATTTGCATCTATATGAGACAGGCCTAAAGCCCTAAAGGAGCGATGTGATCGAATGGAGCCCCAATAAAATATAATGTCAGTCGTGCATCGATTTGGCGCCCCTTGACTTTAGCGCACCCCTTCGCCCCCTGAATCCACCACTGCAGGTTTTCATTTTGGATTTTTTTTAAAGGCATATTATTTATAAATGTTTTAGATTATAATGCATAATGCAATGTTAAATTAAATACTTACTAGAAATAAATATGTATATTCGAGTAGGTCGAATATCCGCTTTTTCTAAACTAATTTTTAAGATGAAAAAAATATATACTAAAGGAAATAAATATTCGGTCAACATCTTGGGCTCGTCAATTGCATTTAAAACGGAAAGTAAAAAAATATTTTTTTGAAGTAAATTTTTTTTATAAATTTTGTTACTAAATTAAATTCTCTACAAAAAAAGGTCTTTATCAATTATCGCATAAATATTGTGGATTCAGAGGTAATTTTGATAATTGCGATTTCATCTTAAAGTGTCCATTGTTATGACTAAAATCTCAATTATCTCTGATATTTATGCGATACCTAATTGAAAAGGATGTTTTGGTACCAAAGAAACTTTTAATAATTTGAGAATTAATAAAAAATATTTAAATATTATTAATTTTTTTAATGAACTAAAGAATACCTATATTTTATTAAAATTTGGTGAGTATTGTTTTTTTATTAATTCTTTTTCATACTGGGGGTGATTTTATCTATTAATAGAAGATAAAAAAAAGGAACGCCAATGATCTGTAACAAAAATTCCAATTTATTTTTAAAAAAGCAGTCGATTTACGAAAAAAAGTTATTTTAAAGTGTTTTCGTAAAATGTCTTATTACCCATATGCCGCACAGTGGTCTGAGAGGTAAATTTACGCGGAAAAAATTATTGTTTCTAACACGTGACATTTTTATAATTTTAAGGGTGCTAAATTTAGTTCTGATATACATTTTTTTCAATAATAATAATAATGATATTGAGGGAGGGGCCTAAGTCTAGCCAAATGATATAAAATGAATTTTTTTAATATTTGTGTATTTTTGTTTTCAAGTTTCATATTTCTTTAATAAAATAAATGTTTATAGTTCGTACCAGGGAGCGATCGCCAATGTTGGCAATTGCAGCATGGCGCAAGCATAATTTTTATACTGAATAACCCAAAAACCATTACTTTCAAAGTATCAAAAATATATTATTATAACAACATTTTAAATTTTAACATATTTTTTTTGGGCCACCCTTTAGCCGATATCGTAATAGTTGACAATGGGAAAAACTTATTATTTTTATTATGCGTTAAATCCTCTTGCTTTTTCCAAAAGATCTTTGTCGACATTCCCATACAAACATTGTATTAACCTCAATTAAAGCATTTTGCTGTTTTTTAATTTCTGAGCACCCTGTAATTTTAATTAAAAATGTTTATTTAGAAATCTCATTTTTTGAAACAAGCAGAAGCAGAAGTATGAAGAATTATTTTTTGCAATTCCCATACAAACATGAACAAATAATTAATTTTTTTATGAGTTTATAAGTCTAAATATTAAACCATCAGATATTTTCAAAAAGAATTAATTTTTTCCATAAAACGCACATCTAGGTTTTTAGTTTTTTTTAGTTTCTAAGCCCTGTACATTTAATAAAAATGTTTGTGTAGAAATCGTATTTTTGAAAGAAGCAGTTTTTATGAAAAATGTTTTTGTAACATTATAAAAAAGTTTGTTTCTATTGTCAATCCGATCCGTGGACACACTGTATATTATACGAAGTATATTAAAAAACAATATTATGTAATAGGTATAAAAAAATAGTATATTATACTACAAGGGCCGAAAGTTGAATTTTCGGCCCTGCGCGTCATGATGCCCGAGGGCCGCAGGGCCGAGATTTCAACGTTTGGTCCGTGTGTTGTATACTATTTTTCTTCATATATCGGTCAAAAGTACTTACTTTCGTCTCTAATAGCAGGGACAAAATTTTACCTTGGTCGAAAGTACGTACTTTCGTCCCTAATAGCACAGGGAGTAAATGTTAAACTTTCGTCCCTGCTATTAGGGACGAAAGTAAGTACTTTCGAACAAGGTATGAAGAAAAATTTATTACGATTCTTAAAAACAATAATTATTGTCAAATTTGAAAAATATATTGGTTTTATGACCAGGTTGGCGGTAATTTTTGTCGACCTTTTTTCATTTTTGCATAACTCTCTTATAGGCGCATAAAGACAGATGAACTTTTATAAAGTCGGTACTAAAGGTTCATATTTTCGAAAAAAAATTGTAGGTTAAAAAACGCTATATTTTTGACAAAAAATCCAACAAAAGATATTTTCTTACTACCTCGACTCAAAATACGTTGTTTCGTCCCCGAT